CCAAGGCGATCATTTGACTACCCACTCTGGGCAGTGATCGGAAACAACCTCTGCTACTGGAATATGTCCCTCGTTAACCTCAGTTATCCTCAATAATGAAGCCAGGGTATTTTTCTGCTTCTATTTTATTAATTTTTTTTTATTTGTTATGGGACCAATGAGTTGCAGCTTTTCATTTAGTGTCAAAATAATCTAAACAAATAAATAACAACGATGGGGGTTTGTACAGAACCAGCAGAGAGCTGCTCAGGGTTTAGATGTGCGGCGGCGGCGTGTAAGATCGAGCAGCTGTCTAGGGAGGGCAGTCAGTACAACCTTTCGACCGGGATTCTTTCTTCTCTTGGTACCAAAGGTGACCGGATCGGAGTTTCTATCCGCTGACAGCCCGATTAGAAGCCATCGTCGAGGGTCTGCATGAGCTTGAGAGCTTTGTTCAATCTTTTGAGGCAAGCCTCTTCCGGATATCTCGATTTCTTAGTTACGCTGGTTGGGATTTTCTTGGCCTGCTCTATGAATATGGATTTGAGTAAGGGTTTGGCAGCGGAGGCAAAGGGGAGACGTGAGGTATCTCCACTTTCCAGCAGGGGTCCAACCAATTCAGCCGTGCACCACAGAGGGAGAAAAAAGGTAGAATCCTAGGTAAAAGACCAATGGTTACTCTTTTTTTTTTGTTCGCTTTGATGATGCTATCGAAAAGAGGTTAAACGACTCCATCTTTATTAACGGGTTTTGTGTCTTCTTTTCTCTTTTGTTGTTGTATAGCTCCCGTTGAGGAAACTGGTGGTGAGCATGATAGGCGGAAAGCGCCACGATAAAGAGCGACCTTGATGGTGGTTGAGATGACAACGGAAGCATAAATTTGGATTTTCATTATAAAATATCCTTAAATTCCAGTGTCAAAGATTCCAAATTCCAATCTTTACCCTTCTCTGGGAATCTCTTTAATTCCCTTTTACTAGATAGGGGTTGTAAATCACCTTGCTTCTCACGCAAATAGTCACACACACGTGCAGATTAGCAAAACGAGCTTTTGTTATTTTTATTTTCTTCTTACATTCTTGTTAGAAGAAAGACAATAACTGCAGAAAGAGGTGGACATGGTGGGGAAAAGCGAGCCTGAAGCTTGTTGCGTAAACCTTTGGATATGTTTTTGACGGTTAATTTGGATGGGAGAACGGCCAAAAACACTGTTGCTAATAGCAAGGTCACGGCTAACCTCACTGCGGTCATTCACGAGGTATGCATTTCTTATTGTCTTTCAATAATGTCCAGTAAATTTCTTTTTTGTGTGTGTGTGTGTGTGTGTGTGTGTGAAAGCATCGATCTTTGCGTGAGGTCGCTAACAGTTGTTCTTAAGCATGACTTGGGATTTATATATTGATATCTAAGTTTGGTTTTATTATTATTATTTTTTTTCTTTTTGTTTTTTTTCTTGTTCTTGTACTTTGGGCAATGTTCTTTCTCTTGCAGGACCGTAAAAGTTGAAAGATAACTTTTACCAGATTTTAATATGCCTATGAATTGTATAGTTTTAAGGTGCAACCCTTACGAGTATTTTCATCATCAATGGAGAAAAGTGTCAGTAATTGGAATTGTTGTTGGTGCATTGATAGATGTGTGCGTGTGAATTTTCACCTTTAGAGAAGTTTGTGAATTTTCACCTCTGGAGACTAAACTTCTTGCCCTTTCTGGTGCATATGTGAAACACAGAAAGAAGTTTAGAAGATTATTGAAAGAGTGGCCTTTGTTTGACAAACAAGCAGACACATGTCTGTAGAAATTGATAGTATTTTTTCCTTTCCATATCGTAATCTATGAATTTATAGTATTACTCTGTATAATTTCATTGAAAATCATCAATATAATGGTATTTGGCGATAAATTTAGATTGACTTATTGTTTATGTTTGAGTTAGGTAGTGCAGCAGCTCAGACGGATGGTTGTGATCGTAGTGCTCGTGAAGGTGGCTGGGACCTTATTTTTGGAAGAGAAGCTTCAGCTGGGAATGTATGTGTCTCGATTAATTACATTTCAGTATCTCAATATTTTAGAGGGTATTACATAAAACTGGGACTTGATTTTTAGACAAACATATTCATCATATGCAAAAGTGATTTTTTGGGTTATAGGATTATCTACAATTTTGGAACAGAAATAGCTATCTATAATGTGCGTTGTGCATATAGATTTAATTATTAGACGATTCCTTATGATCGTTCAATTTTTTAGTATGTAAGTTTGAGAATTACTTGGTTCGTTCCGTTGCATGGCTGGGTATTTGGTAGCGTTTTGACCATACTTGGACTGTACATGGTACTGTGGCGAAAGGGAAAGGAAGTAAAAACGACACAACATATAATACCAGAAAACATAGACAGATAATACATGAAAACATAGACAACAACAATCGTCAAGTTTAGGAGCCTTCTTCAATACTCGGTGATAATGACGGTATCCAAAGAGTTGGCCACATAAAAGGATAAGGGAGAGGAAGAATTAGAAGGAACGGACGAACAATCGCAACGGGGGTTCTCATTCTAGCTCCGAGATTTTAAGTGGTCTTACATATACCCATGGAGCTATTTAGTACTTGAATTACTTGACAATGGAAGGAGTTTGATTTTGTTGCTTAGGAAAACTTTATTCTCTACAAATGAATTGCTTGGTTACATTTGTTAATTATGCTTGAGATTCTTAAAAAGATTAAGGTAGAAGAAAGGTAACATTTCTACTGGAGTATTGGAGTTTTTAAGGATGTCCACATTGGATTGTTCTTAAAAAGACCTAAAATGCTTTGTCTCTTTTGTACTCTTATCTTTGATGAACAAAACATTTCAAACGCTAACCTCTTTTCTTCTTCGTTCTTTGTTCTTGGGTGTAATGTTTTAGTAATAGAGTTAAAAAAGTCGATAAATTAAAATGATAATTTCCTTGTAAAACTAATTTAACCTCCATTATAGACTAAATTTGAGTTCGCCGTGCGTGCACGACGTGGGATAACTAGTAGTTTATATATATCTATTCATGTAAAATTTAGATATGAACAAAAAAATACCTAATAAATAAAATGCAAAGGATAAACAAAATGCAAATCCAGCAAAGCAAGTTCAATTCTTCCAATTCTCAAACCAAAAGCAAGGAAAAATAAAATGCAAATCAAACACTAATCAAATGACTAATTCTCCTCATCAAGCTCAACGTAATCATTTTCCATGTTATCATCAAGCATCTCCCTCATCCTCTTCTCCATTCGAATCCTCCAAATTCAAAAAATCTTCTTCTTCTTGAGATTCCTCATCTTCAACCATTTTCTCCTTCCCTCTCCCTTGTGTAGCTTGTTTTTTCGGGTTGGAGTTCCTAGCACTTGAACCACCGCCCGGTAGCTCCTTCCTTTTTGTAGCACTTCTTCGCCTTGTATACCTTATAGGCTCCCCAACCCCGAAGCCTCATACACGGTATCCCAATTCAATGAGGTATCACCATCAAATACCAAATCCCTTCCGGCACCATCATCGTTATCATCATCCATTTCTCCAACTAACCACTCATTACAATTGTCAATATGATCGAGTGAAATTGGGTCAAGATTATCCCTAACATCAAACCTCATCTTCAATTGTTGATTGTATTTGGCATACACCAAATCATGCAACCTCTTATACTCGAGCCTATTTCTCTTTTTTGAATGAATCTGGAATAAAATTAATTACAAAAACACTAGTTAAAATAATTATGAAAATAGTAATGATGGATAGTATGAATCATTGCCAAAAATAAAAAAATAAAAAAATTAAAGACTACTAGTATATATATATATATAAAAGAATTGAGAACTAACTGAATGTATGTCATATTCTAGAAAAAAATATTAAGTATAGTTATTGATAAACAAATAAAGAAGAATGTGACAAAAGCGGACAGTTGAGAAAATTGGAAGTGGGATTAATGATGGCGAGTGTGACTTATATTGGGTCCGGACATTATTAACATTGGTCTATTCATTTTGCTCCATATGTGAAACTGGAAAGTTCCACATCTCCATTACTAACTCTTTTTTCCCCAACCGAAAAGAAAAAACGTAATAGGTGTCTTATGAGGAATGTTGGTTCATCTATAAATATATTTATGAGAAAATTACCCCTTCCACTTTACATTTCAATTTATATTGCATAATTAAACATCTTATATAAATAATAGTAAATTAAGGTTTTATTTGAAGATATACCACAAAACTTATCCACAATAATTTATTCATTAATTAAAGAAACCTATAAGTTACCAAAAGATCACCCCCGAATAATATGGTAAGAGATTTCTTTCCCACCTCATTAACCCTAAAATTGGAGATCGAGTTCTCCTCATATGGTATCCAAGTGATTGTTCATGGAAGTTTTTTTCTTTACTGCCCGTGGCAGCCGGAGGCGATGGTGGAGCACGGGCAAGAAAAGCGTCTCCGCTGGTGGGAATTCGAAGCGGTGGAGGTTCAAGGTGAAGGATCTCGTGCGGAGAAGCCAGAGCAAGGGGAGCAAGGGCAGTATCGTCCTTTTGACTTACGAAACGAAGGTAGTTAGAGAAACGCCGGCGGGTGGCTGTGATGTGATTGCGGCGCCGCGACCGCGTGGTATAATCGCATGGCGGCGAGAAGCGGTGGTCTAACCTGCCGTACAGGCAGGATTTGGTGGGACTCTTTAATAACGTGAATGGGCTGAAAAAGAATTTAAAGCGCACTTAGAGACCTTTAATTTTAGTTTTATTTTATAATTGTTATTTATTTATTTATCAATGAATTAATTTCTGGGCTAATGTATATGATTTAGTTTAATATTACAGGTTTATTTAACAATTTCTTTTCCTCATATAAGCTATTTGGGATGACAGACTTAAGAGAAGATGAGAATGAGGAAAATGGACATGAAGGCAGGAAGGATTAATTGTATGTATATGTATATGTATGTATATGAACATCGATGAGAACAAAATCTGATTCAAAATTAGACCTAGCCCCTAATGCGTCTTTTGTATATTTTCTGTATATATTCTGTGTATAATGACAAGAATGATTTATCTTCTGTATATTTGTTGTAAATATTCTTTTATGTCCTATGTATACAATTAGTATATCTTCTGTATATATTCCCGACAAATATACTGTTATTTAGTATATGTTTCGTTTATAATCAGTGAATATATCATATGTATATGTTGAGTATATAATGGGTATATTTTCTGTATATAAGTTTGATCGTGAAACAAAAAAAAATTTGAAAAGATAAAATTACCAGGTTATTTCGTATATTTTTTGGACTTATATGTTTTCTGTATATCTTCTACATATATTCTGTATATATTATGTATATACAAAAAACACGAGATGTAATAACACAAAAAAAAAAGAGAGAAACAGAACATATACGTTTAATATATGGTATTAAGACGATGCGAAGTTTAAAAATAAACAAAAAACAGTTTAACCTGCATAAAAATACTTGATTTAGCGAAATAAGTATTTAGGATTCTGGGATTTGTAGTTAGTTATACTCGTTTGAAATTCAATCTCGTTATCTTTCCTATTTCTTCTCGACAAACTCCTAATTAGTAGCATATATTGACTTACCATGTGTATTTTTAGTTTTTTTTTTTTAAATGGAAATCGATAATTTAATACATCCTCCACAAATCAAGGATGCTGTATTTCAGTTTTTGGTAACTGAAATCTTAGGATTTTTTCAATTAATCGCCATGTATGTGGTAGGGATGCAATAAAAAAATTGACTATGGCATATTTACAAATATTTTAATATTAGATGAAATTTCCCCTTATATTTGTACTCATAAGATTTATGGTAACGTGAGGTTCAGTATTGCTTGTATGCAGGGCGGATCCATAAAATAAGTTTGGGGAGAGTAAAATTAAGAGTACAATTTGTAATAGCATCCCATTTGATTTAACATATATATGTATANGTGTGTGAGGGCTAGTCGTTCTTTGGAGTTATTTCATTATGGAAGCAAATGGGGATAATGACCCTAATACTACAAACCTGACAGGAGATATAGAGAAGAAGTTGCAAAGTATTGATCTACCAGAATCAGAGACTAATGCCGTCGAGCTCAAGGATGAAGATATTAAGATAAGTGCCAAAGAATGGGAGCGAAGCTTGTTTGGGCGAGTTCTTGGGGACAAAAAGGCCAATCTTATGGGAATCAAGCGGACAATGGGTATTATTTGGCAAATTCAAAGTCCAATGAAAGTTCGTGAAATTAAAAACAACTTCTTTCAGTTTATATTTGGAAATGTGGAAGACAAGAAGAAGGTTGCGTCTGGTGTGAACTGGATCTTCGAGAACCAATACCTGGTGCTCTTGGAATGGGTAGAGGGCCTGGATGAGAAACATGGAGGGTTCGAGGAAGTGAAGCTTTGGGTGCAGGTAAACAATGTACCTTTAAACTGGTTGCGCTCTGAAGTTGGTATGAAGATTGGGAAAATCTTCAAACAGGTTATAAATGTTAATGTGGTGAAAGCAGGAAGTACAAGAGGTAGTTTTCTTAGACTACTGGTGGTGGTTAATGCCTCTAAACCTCTGCCCAGATGTGCTAATCTTAAACTGAAGAATGCTCAAATGTTAGTTTCCTTCCAATATGAAAGATTAGTGAATACCTGCTACTATTGTGGAGTCATAGGACACCTAGAAAGATCTTGTTCTAAGAGGATGACTGATATAGCATCTGGTAATCTAAAAGAGGGGCAGTATGGAGAGAGGATGAAGGCTATGGATGGAAATCTAGGATCTAAATCTATATCAGGGGGGTTTCGTACTAGCCAGTCCAATGAGTCCAATACGCAGCACCAACAATAGAGCAATCTTCACCCTGTTAATACAGCTGAGCATGAGCCCTCTAGTAGCAAAGCCTCTAATCAACAAGGAGTAGATGCAAGTAGTGGGGAAGACCAATATGCAGGGGTAGCTGTGGTGGCCCAAGAGAATCATACAACAGACATATTAGGCACAATATCCACTTCTGATCACCTGACAGCACCTATGAAGGATTTCCATGCTGAGGGAGGGGAACTTCACAAGGGAACTTTGGTGATTGCAGAAATGGAAACTGAGGAGGGGCTAGACAAGGAGGAGACTATGAATACTGAAGTACAGGGGCTTAACCTAAGAGGCAGAGTGGTGCAGGTGAAAGCCAGAGGGTGGAAGAGGAGAACTGGTAGAGAGGGAACAAATTCTCAACTAGCTAAGGGAACAAGGACTACAAAAATTACCCAAAAATAGAAAAGACCTCTTGGATGCATTGAGGAGGGGCTATCTGAGCAAGGTGAACTAAAGGAAGATGGCACTAAAAGACAGAAGAGAGAGATAGATGAAAGAGCTGGAGGTGGCCAGCCTTAAATGGGCCCAAAGTTCCAAATGAAGCTGATAATGTGGAACTGTAGAGGTCTGGGTGGACACTCTACAATGTCCCAGATTAAAGAGGTTACTAGACCCCAGCACCCAAATTTTGTGTTTATATCAGAAACCAAAAAGAAAAAAGACTTTGTTCATTCCCTCTGTAATAAATTTCGATTCAGGAATAGATGGGCAGTTGTGGATCCTCAAGGGCTCGGTAGAGGGATTCTTTTGTTATGGGATAGTACTGTGGATATTAAGCAGCTGATTTCTCACTCTTTTTGTTTTGAAGTTGAAGTGGAACTGCAACCTGGAAAACCTACTGTATTGCTAATATTTATTTATGCTAGTGTTTATAGAGCTACCAGAGAAGAACAGTGGCATTTACTGGAGCAAGGTAAAGCAAAGTGGGGAAATCAGTGGATAGTAGGTGGGGACTGGAATGAAATAAGAGAGCCAGGGGATAAACAAGGAGGTAGACCTATGTCAGAAAAGGACTGCAGGAAATTCAATGATTTTGTAGCTAGAATGGAGATGGCTGAGATCTAGTTGTAGGGGTACCAGCTTATATGGGCCAACAACAGAGAGATGAAGGGCTTTATTGAAGAAAAGATAGACAGGATATTCTGTTCCTTTGAGTGGCTTGTGGAAAATCAAAACATTGAAGTACAGAGCTTCTTCAAGAGTGCATCTGACCATAGGTTAATGCTATTGACAGAGGCCAAGACCAGTGAGAGGAAGAAAAGGAGATTTTCTTTGATAAGAGGTGGGTGAAAAAAGAAGGAGTAAAGGAGGTGGTTGCTAAGGCCTAGGCTGTTGCTAAATATGGTACACATATGTTCAAAGTGTCCGAAAAGATTAAGGAGACAAGACTAGCTTTATTAAAATGGAGCAGCCAATTAAGAAAAGAAGAGCTAGATACCAAGAGAAGGATTGCCGAGAGGCTAGAACCGATGAGTGTTTAAAGGGCTAACAAAGACTGGGATGAATGGGTTAAGCTAAAAGTGGCAATGGGCAGAATCAACCTCCAAAAAGAAGAATATTGGAAACAGAAATCCAGAAACACATGGCTAAAGGAGGGAGACTCTAATACAAAGTACTTCCATGCATCTACAGTACAAAGAAGAAAGTTGAACACAATATTCAGCCTGCAAGATGAAAGTGGGCAAACCTAGGAGACTCTGCCTGACATTGAGAGATGCATCAGTAACTTCTATGTCAGTCTCTTTTCTTCTGAGGGCTCAGAGGATGACCAGGATATTTTACAGTTTAACCAACCCACTATAACAGCAACTATGAATGAGGCCTTAATTGCTACTATCTTTGAGGAGGAAATTAGGGAAGCACTATTCAGTATGAATCCAGGCAAAGCCTGGGGCAGGATGGTATGTCACCTTTGTTCTTTCAATACTTTTGGGATACTATTAAAGTTGACCTTTCTGAAGCTATGCAAAGTTTTTTCTCTTCTGGGCAAATCCTTAATAATTGGAACCACACTTTCATATCATTAAATCCTAAATGCATGAATCCCAAAGTCCTTGGTAGTTTTAGACCAATCAGTCTATGTGGTGTATCTTATAAAATTACTTCTAAGATTATCACCACTAGACTGAAACAGCGTCTTAACGTTTGCATTAGTTCAAATCAAAGTGCATTCATCCCAGGGAGACAACTGCTGGACAATGGTATCATTGCACATGAAGCTATACATTACCTAAATATACACAAAAATGGGAAAGTGGGGATCATGGCATTAAAAGTTGATATGGAAATGGCTTATGACCGCATTGAATGGGAGTGTGTTTCTAAAATCATGGGCAGAATGGGTTTCCACTCCAAAATTGTGAAATGGGTTATGGCATGCATCTCATCTCCTGTTTATTCATTTAATATCAATGGTGAAGTGAAAGGTTATGTGGAAGCAACTCGAGGGTTGAGGCAGGGGGTCAGAGTTGTTGTCTAAACTTATCAGAAATGTGACTGCAGGGGCTACTTTAAGGGTCTCCAAATGGGAAAATCTGGGCCTAAGATTATCCATCTAATGTTTGCTGATGATGTCTTATTTTTTTGTGCTGCTGATGATCACCATGCATTGCTGTTGATGAACTTATTGTCTAAATACCAGAGCTTCACAGGCCCAAAGATAAATTTGGGGAAGTCATCAATATTTAAAAGCACTAATGCAGCTGCTCGGAATTCTATTTCCCATATCCTGTAGGGTATCTAAGTCCAAAGGTCCTCCAGATATCTGGGCTTTCCACTTGGGATTGGCAAATCCAAAAGGAGGTTTTTGACTATGTCATTGAGACTGTGAGAAAGAGATTAATTAACTGGAAGTCATGTTTTTTATCAGCTGCTGGGAAGGAAGTTTTGATTAAAGCAGTAGTGGATGCACTTCCATTTTTTTCCATGTCTTGTTTCTGTCTCCCTCTTGGTATCTGCAGGTTCATTGCTAGGATGACTGCCATCTTCTGGTGGAGCACTATGGTTGAGCAGAATGCTGGTGTACATTGGAAATCTTGGGATTTAGTTACTTTGCCAAAGGATAGAGGTGGACTGGGATTTAAAGACCTCATTCTTTTTAATGAATCTCTAATCCTAAAACAGATATGGAGGGTCCTAACAAACCCAACCTGTTAGTGAGCCGGGTCCTAAAGGGAAGATACTTTCCAAATGGGTCAATCTTGAATGTGAAGAAAAGCACTTCTGCTTCTTGGTTGTTGGGGACATGGCTGGGGATCAGGGATAAGGATGAAGGGCACTTTAGAATACAGATAAATGATGGTGTCTCCACAAACATCTGGCTGGACCCTTGGATTTTGAACCATCACAAGGCTATACCTGTGCTTAAATCTGGAGAAATTTCTCAACTTCAAACAGTCAACCAGCTCATAAGTGAGAATGGTGGAAGGTGGAATCAAACCTTGCTGAGGAAGATGTTTAATGAAGAAGAGGTGCAAGCAATTATCAAAATGAAAGGGCTGAGCAAAGAGTACAAGGACAGATGGATATGGACATTGGACCAAAAAGGTAACTTCTCTATGTCAAAAAGGTAATTGAGTAGTTTATACATTTTTATTCCAAAAGCCCAATTCTATTGTTATGATTTTTACCAGTATTTTTATGTACTTGGGCTTCATCTTTGTTAAAGCCCAGTTTATTATTATGTTGTTTCCAGAATTAGTTTGTTAGATGGGTCCCACGATTGGGTATGTATGCTGGGAATTGTCAGAAATCTAGTAACAAATTAGCACATTTCTCATGACTGTCTCTCTCTTCTAATTCTCTTTCTCTCTCTACTTCATGTTCCTCCTGCTTTCTCTTCCAAATTAATTACAGAAGAATTGCAGAAAATTACATAAGTTCTAATTATATGTTCTGAGCTTAACATTTGGTATCACCCTTTCCCGATCCTGGCCATGGCAGAAGGCACGCGCAGCAAGGACCTCTTGGAAACACAGAAAAGAATGGATTAGTTTATGCAAACCGAGGCCATGAAAAGAGAAGCAACAGAATTAAAATTGCAAGATCAAATTACGCAGTTGGGCTCAGATTTCAAAGATGCAAACACAGAAATGCAGTCACAAAGGCAAGGTAAATTTGAACACCTCACCAACACCCTGGCTGCTATGCAGCTGCAACTCCTTAACCTAGATAAGAGCAAATCACAAAGTGAGGAATCTATCTTTGGCTCCTACCATGACCAACGTCCTGAGGGTTCTTTCAAACAACAAAGAATCAGAAACCACACTGACCAACCTCTCACAACCCCAAACATCATCAGCCCTTTACCTAAAATTGATTTTCCCCATTTTGATGGCACAAACCCTAGAACCTGGATTCTGAAGTGCAACAGTTACTTCAGAATTATTCTTAGAATCCCTGATCAACAAAAAGTCAACCTGGCTTCTATGCACCTTGAAGGCAAGGCTGCCCAATGGTTTCAAAATATCAGTCAAAGGTGTGCTGACATTTCTTGGGCACAATTTTTAGAGCTCATCTCTGCCAGGTTTGAGGAGCTTAAGGAATCAAAAATTATTGAGGAATTTAACAAGCTTAGACACTCAGGCTCATATGCAGAACATGTTGAAAAATTTGAGGAATTAAAGGCTTGCATGCTGTGTCTCAACAAGGATTTCACTGAGGAATACTTTATTGCTAGTTTCATAAGTGGTCTTTCTGAGGAATTGCGGTCATTTACTTATATGTTTGAACCTGTTATCCTCCAACAAACAATTGACCTGGGAAGAAAACAGCTAGTGACCGTGGAAGCTATCACTAAAAAACTCAGAACCACCAATAGACCCTACACTAATACCTACCAACCACCCAGAAAACGTGAAACCCACTACAACCCACCAGCCAAATACACTCCCAACACACAGAAAATTCCTATCAAACTTTTGACACCTGCTGAAATGGCAGCTAGAAGGGACAAAGGCCTTTGCTACAATTGTGATGAACAATACACCTATGGCCATAGGTGCAAGCACAGGCTAAACTATATGGTAATGACTGGGGAAGAAGAGGGTACTTTCATACCTGAGGAGGCACCTACTGACACTGAGAACTTAGATGTTGTGGAATAAATCCAGATGTCACTGAACTCCATAGCTGGTGAGGTGGGTCTGACTACAATGAGTGTTTGTGGGGGTACTGGAGAACACCAACTACATATTCTCATTGACTCTGATAGCACTCTTAGCTTTATCCAATCAAGTACAGCAAAGAAGTTACAATTGGACCTTCAAGATGCCAAACCTATAGTTGTGAGGGTAGCAAATGGACAGAGGATGCTAAGTTCTCAGATAGCTGATGGTTTCAAGTAGAATATGCAGGACCACACCTTTTCTTACCCTCTGAGGGTTTTGGACAATGAGGGTTGTGACATGATTTTAGGGGGTGACTGGATAAAAAGTTGTACACCAGTGGAGTTAGATTATGAAAAAATGCATGTGGCTGTTATTGTGCAGGGGAAAAGGGTCAAAATACAAGCACTCAAATCAGCACCTTCTTGCAAGTACATTTCAGGTCCCACACTCTACAAACTTTTTCATGAAGACTTGGGACAGGATATTGCAGAGGTTTATTGGGTCACTATTCATAAACCTGACTCTCTGCCACACAATCCAGAGGTAGATTTGCTATTGGAAGAGTTCCATGGCATTTTTCAGGAACCTCAGAGGCTACCTTCTAGTAGGGGTGTTGAGCATCAAATCCTACTCAAACCAAACAGCATTCCCAAACACCAATTCCCTTACAGATCTTCCAATAATCATAAAAGAGAGATTGAGAAAATTGTCAATGAGATGTTGGAGGCTGGCATAATACAGGACAGTAAGAGTCCCTTTGCATCACCAGTGATTTTGGTGAAGAAGAAAGATGCCACCTGGAGGTTGTGTTTGGACTATAGATACCTCAACAACTTAACAGTTAAGTATGACTACCCTATTCCTGTCATTGATGAACTGCTCGATGAACTACAGGGAGCCAAATACTTGTCAAAAATAGACCTGAGGTCAGGTTATTTACAAATTCTAATGGATAAGGACCACAGGTACCTCACAACATTCAGAACTCACAATGGCCATTATGAGTTCTTTGTCATGCCTTTTGGGCTTTGCAATACCCCTGCTACCTTTCAATCCATAATGAATAAGATCTTTAAAAACTTATTGAGGCACAGTGTCCTTGTCTTCTTTGATGATATACTTATATATAGCAAGACTTGGTCTGATCATCTACATCATTTGAGACAAGTACTATCCATCCTAAGACAACATCAATTGTATGCTAAGAAGAGTAAGTGCCAGTTTGCTCAAGAGAGGATAGAGTATTCGGGTCACATTATCACTCACCAGGGAGTTACTACTGATCCTTAGAAAATAGACTGCATGTTAAAGTGGCCTATTCCCAAAACACTGAAACAACTTAAAGGGTTTTTGGTGCTCACAGGCTACTACAGGAAGTTTATAAGGGGATATGGCATTCTTAGCAAACCACTCACTGATTTACTTAAAAAAGATCAATTTAAGTGGGGATTAGATGCTGACAAAGCCTTCCAAACATTGAAAGAAGCCATGTCAGCAAACCTTTCACACTTGAAACAGATGCCAGTGGAAAAGGAGTTGGAGCTGTCTTCATGCAACAGGGAAAACCTATTGCTTTCATGAGCAAGATGCTTTGTCCTAAAAATCAAGCTTTATCTATTTATGAAATGGAATTTCTTGCTGTCCTCATGACTGTGCAAAGATGGAGATACTACTTACAGGGTCATAAGTTCATCATTAATATTGATCAACAAGCACTAAAGCATCTCTTAGACTAAAAGGTCATGACCCCAGTTCAACAAAAGTGGATCACAAAACTGTTGGGCCTAGACTATGAAATCAGGTACAAAAAAGGTACTAACAATAAAGTAGCAGATGTACTTTCTAGGAGAGACACTGACAACACTGATTGAATGGCTGTTTCTACTCTCATTCCTGCTTGGGTGCAAGAAGTCAAAGAAAGCTATAAGGATGACCCCTTCTTCACTAATGTTTTACAATCCAACATCATCAATCCCCTGTCCCATCCTAAATTCACTATCTATGATGGTCTAATCAGATATAAAGGAAGACTTGTAGTGGGCAAGGGCACCAACTTACACAAATAGCTATGGTGACTGCACAAGAACATATTTTACTAGCCAGGGATGAAGGTGATGTTGTGAAATGGGTCCAAGGCTGTGATGACTGCACAAGAAGTAAACCACATTCAGAGATTTACCAAGGCTACTTCAACCTTTACGTATTCCTGAGCAAGCTTGGACACACATAGCTATGGATTTTATTGAGGGTCTTCCTAAGTCTGGTGGGAAGGATGTGATTTTGGTAATCATTGATAGATACACCAAATATGCACATTTTTTTGCCTTATCTCACCCCTATACTGCACCTATTGTAGCTAAACACTTCTTGGACTCATTGTACAACTTACATGGTTTGCCTGTGAGTATTGTCTCTGATAGGGACAAAGTGTTTACTAGACTTTTCTGGAAGGAACTTTTCATGTTATTGGGGGTCAGATTAGACATGTCTTCCTCTTACCATCCCCAAAGTGATGGTCAATCAGAGAGACTTAACCAATGTTAAGAAAACTACCTGAGGGGTATGACACATCACAACCCAAAACAATGGTTCAGATGGCTCTCTTTGGCTGAATATTGGTATAATACCAATTTTCATTCAAGCCTCAAGACGACACCTTTCCGAGCCCTCTATGGTTACAAACCTCAGACTTTTTCCATGGACCCCTATATTGACTCTCCTCATGCAGAAGTTAAGGACTCTATGCATCAACGGAACATACAAGCTCATTTACTCAGGGAAAACCTAACTCAAGCACAAGCATGGATGAAATTTTATGCAGATCGGAAAAGAGTAGAAAAGCAATTTGCAGTGGGTGAACAAGTTTTTCTCAAATTACAACCATATCGCAAAAACTCAGTTGCACTCAGAAAGAATCTCAAACTATCTGCTCGATTCTATGGACCATATATCATCACTGAGAGAATTGAGGCGGTGGTTTACCGTTTAGCACTTCCGGCAGGATCTTAGGTTCAACCCGTCTTCCATTGTTCCCTCCTTAAACGGAAACTTCGCCCAGGTGCTCAAATCACTCCACACGTCCCTGCAATAGATGATGATGGTCTTGTCAACATAGATCCAGTGGCTATTGTTGATAAAAATATGATATTGAGAAATGAGAAACAAATACCTCAAGTACTTGTTTTATGGGACAACAGACCATTGGCACAATTTTCTTGGGAAGATGCTTTCTTTGTTCAACGTCGTTTTCCTCATCTTGATCCTTAGGGTCAAGGATCTCAAATTCGGGGGGGTAATGTCATGTACCCACCTTCCGACCCGAAAAAGAAGGATAATTACGAAGTAAAGGAGGAATCTTTGGGACGAAATGATGAATCTTTGGTGTTATCGATCGGAGATTTGGCCGGAAAAGCAAAACTAGGGTTTGAAGATGGAAAGGGGAAAGAGATCGAGGAAAATGAAAGGGTTTGCTCTACAAAAAGGGGAGAAACCGAAGCAGAAGTACAAGTGGTCGCTGGTCAAGTCATTGGGCCGGTAATTGAGTAGTT